CAACTTCACGATTCTTAGGTCGCCATGGCTACCCATTTAGACGTATTTTTGATTTGTTTTCCACAGAACACTCGGAAGACGCTCGCGGAGCAGTCGTGTTCCGCGGAACACAGTTTGGGAAACGTTAGTGTAGAGTAGAGTGTAGACCAGTGATTCTCAAACTAGGGTTTGAGAGCCGCATGCGGCAGTAAGCGTTTTCGCGGCCACTTTTCACCTGGAAATTTTTTAGACATGGCTGTAATCATTGGCTTGCTTTCGTGGATTTTCAGTTTTCGTCGCTAATTTCAAAATTAAATTAATTTTATTCTGAGTTTTATCCTCTGCCTTGGATTTGATCTTCCTTATCACCGCTTGTAAAATAGTGAACGGTAACCGAGATGCAGATATTTATCAAAATGATAATCGAGTTTCTCATGCTTTTCGATGGTGTCCGTGTTATTTTAGTATTAGATAGATAAACCTACCAAATTTACGATTGCGTGAATCCTGAATGTAGATTTAAAATAGCGATTAAATAAATTGGCAATAAAGGCATTATTACTAGGCTTTTGTGCCTAATAGAGGGTCAGACGCTAATTTTAACTAAATCCTTCAAGTTTTAACTTTTTTTTTTCAATAAAACAACACTCCGATGGTTATTATAGCTTAAATACTTATTGAGTAATGCTCAATTTCCTTTACGGAAGTGTCATGCCTTAAGGATTAATTATTACTTCCCAAATGCTTCAGAATTTGACAATTGTAATCATTTTCGATGCATGATAATAATCATGATAATAGGCGCAACAATTCGTGAACGAGTCAGTGTGCATTGTTACAACGAAATTCACATTTGATTTTACGTTCTACTCTTGCCTCAACGGCCATGCATGGTCGAATAAAATGTTTACATATTCGAAACATTACCTGGCCAAGGATGGAAAGAATCACTAAAGAGCTGATACAAAGTGATTTGAAGGGAGTAGAACAAAACATTTCTTATATGGTTACAACTTAATGAGTGTTTTCATACAAGTAACTCATACCAGACGCAACAATTGGTAAAATTTGGTAAAACTTTTGCTCATTTTTAAATCCATGCTATTTATATAACTGGAGTTTTCTAACAATCTAAAATCGCCTTTTTCACTATGAAACGCCGAAAAGTCATTTTAACATTTAATTTTAATCAACTTTATGTTCGGTAATGCAAGAACTAGCTAATGACATGTCATAAAGCACGCGGAGTTCAAAATCTGGGAAATTTATTTTAAATTCCTAATCTGGTTTGACGTTTCTAAATTTACTGAACGGTTGGTACGTTTTTTTTACAAGATATGGAATTGAAACGATACGTTAAGTGCAAAGATAGCATATAACACCATAACCCAAAGACAACGATTTTTCAAATTTGTCGTTTTATTCTGATAGCGAGCGCCGTTGGGAAATCTCGCACAATTCACGATTGAGTTGGAGACGCGCGAAGTCGGTGTCCAAGCAGAGCGGCGCAGGTCCCGTGATACCGGGTATTCGAATAGTAAAATGCATTCGAATATTTTATTATTCGAATATTTTTCCCAGCCCTAGTTGTTACGTGTGTTGTTGTTGCGATGACTTGGTATTTCAAATACGCGCTTAAGGTTTGTTGCTATTTTACCTTGCGTTGTTTGTGTGCGCTCTTCATAACTTTGAAGTTTGAAATGCGGCTCTGAGACTAAAAAAGTTTGAGAACCACTGGTGTAGACCATTACTTCAAATCGCTAAATGTACTTTAAGGTTGAAGATATGATGAAATTTGAAGTATTGTCATTAGCTCACATCTTTCATAATAAAACGCACTATCAAACTGCTCTGACGACATACTTGTCAAAAATATCTCCAACCGAAGAAGTAAATCCGATATAAGAATTGTGACATAACTAACGTCAATTACTCTTTTTCTATGAACTAGTGAAGTGTGTCGCAAATCAGTGGTAAATGAGCTGTCTCCGTTGAAAAAATGTTTGTAATAATATTGAATATGAATTTTTACCCATGACAGCCGTGCTGCCAAACCGGGATATTTGAGTCTACCGGCCGGGACAGCTTGTCAAAACCGGGACGTATGGTAAGTCTAAAATAACGCACTATCAAACTGCTTTGACGACATACTTGTCAAAAATACCTCCAACCAAAGAGTAAATCTGTGAGCCAGCATTCCCTGTGTGTTTACTGGATCCAAACTTTGGATTCTCCTCCCTATATTTGAAAACGTTGAAGTCTAAAAAAAAATTTTCAGAAACAAGTTAGGTCCTATCTAGTCTCCAAATATTAGAAATTACTGTTTCGAAACCTCACTGATATTTATTCTTTTTGTATGAAATTAGCTACGCGTTAATAGTTTTGAAGCAATCAAACACCAAAACTCAAGAAAATAATAAATTCTTGTTGACGGTCCATGACAAAAAGTTGGGACACTCCTCATTTGCACATTTTTATTTTCATTGGAATGTTAACAGCTATAGTAATCCTGTTATAGTTTCTGTAACTACTGTGATTAGAAGTTCTGTGGAGCTGTTTTAAACCTCGGTATCTGACATAGCCTACTTTGATGCTATTTTCTATGAATAGCTGTCCACATTCTGACAATTGCACGGCCATGTTTCTTTTCGTGGTGTGGGATCATTTTTATGCTTTTGTTTTCTGCTTGAGTAGTGATATATCCTGATGAGGATTGTAGACAGCATGATGTAATTCCTGCAAGATTTCCAGGTATTGTAACTGGACGTGCAGTCAGGCTATATTGGATTCTTAAATCTTAGTTTTCTGTTAGTGATTTTAATTTAATACGGTTTTCTACCTTTCAATGTAAGCATGTACTTTATGTTTAGATAAGGTATTGCTGTGGAGTTGACTTGGTGGCCGAAGTGTAGATAGTGTGCTATGATCAAATTTGAGTGTTATTGCATGGTGTGATAATTTCTTGTGTCCCCGACGGAATTTTCTTTTGTATTCTCAAACCACCAATATAAAGTGATAAGAATTCAATGTTCAATACCTCCTAAAATCAATTGACCTCGCAAATTGTTTTTGGACACGTTTAGTGGACATAACGATCGTTTTGTTGTTATGTTGTTCTTGTTGTTCATTGACACTTTTGGACACCTAGTGATAAAACTAAAAAACGTATGTATGTATGTTTATTCGCCTCGTAATAGTGATAAATAAATAAATGAACAATTATTATTATTTAAGACGGGATGCATGCACAAGACCGTACTGGCCTAAAACACAAATGTGGGTCGTTTGGTGTGGTGAGAGTGGTAAGGGTGGAGTATACAAAACTGTTTATACAGGGGAGTTTATAGGACAAGACAATATATATAAATAGAGACAACACAACACCAAATAAACATATACATAACAATGAAATCAAAATTTGAGCGCAAATACAGCGCCTTTGAGTGGTTAGACCATATAGTATGAATGGGCAAAGTATAAGAGATAAATTTGCGGTTCATGTACCTATATGGTATGTGTCACTCAAGGGTGCTAGTAGAGTCTTTGATAGAATATATCTATTTCAGCAAAATGTGAACCATACAGATTTTGGTGAAATACTTCAGTTCGTGTGTCAAATTGTTAGGTATTCTTGTTTTATTTATAAAATTGAAGCCGAATGTGGTGAGAATTAAAGGAAAAATAAACTTGAAAAGCATTTCAACAAAACCTGTCATGATTGCATTTTTGCCAGAAGAAAATAAATGTATAAAAGTACTATTCAATTAAGGCTAATATTTTATAAAAAAAAGCATTGTTTCCATGTCATGGGCTGCCCTAATTGTATTAGGATCACAATAGAGTAATATAGTTTCATGGGGGGAGGGAAGGGAGAAATATATTTGATTTTGCGCTATGACCTATATCAGAAAGAAAGGGCCCAGCATGCTACTTTGACAAAGAGAACTGTTTCTATTGATGGCTGGATTCAAATTTGACCGCTTTTCTCTTTGATCACTGGACCAATTGCTTTGACATTTTTAGTCGTTGAAGATGAAATTTTTCTCTAGAAGGCTATTACTTTTATTTATTTCAAATATTTCTGTTAGCTCTGTGAGTTTTGTTTTTGTTTGCTAAGACGTCACCGAACGTTCTGCGGACATCGGACGCCATTTTGTGTCCTACTGTACTGCTTCGCTTCGTGTGAATATATTTGTAGACTGTGATCTGACGGTACGGTAAACCCTACATCAAAATTATGAACAATTATTATTATTTAAGACGGGATGCATGCAAAAAACCGTACTGGCCTAAAACACATCAAAATTATGTACGTTTTAAACCTTATCCACGGTTTCGTTTGCTCTCCTAATTTAACATGTCCTGTAATCATTACAAAATTATTGATATGGTGTGGCAAATAATTTTTTACCATTGCCAGTTATGCTAGGGTTACCATATTTTTTGACTTCAAAGTGGGACGCCTCCAGAGATACGACACCTTAGCTATGATTCAGTAACTTTACAGATTGCGATTTTAATACATATAGGCCTACATTTAAAGCCACCCCGACTGTCTCCATTGACCATATTGTCATCGAGAGTTGATGCGCATATTCTCTGTCTAAATATCCGGTTCAGTTCAAAAAATAGGAAGGAATAGACGCTAACGATACAAATGATTCGAATTTAGATTTTGTTATGTACAGCAAAAGAAATAACCTGTTGTTTTCAAGCATTGAGAATTTACTTATTCGCCCAAGCATGCTTTTCTATAGATTCTATAGAACGCTTTCAAAGGCCAATTTGAAGGAAAGTTGAAACAACAAAAAATAAATGAACAACAAACACGAAAAAACGAGCAATACAACTTTTGTCTGGGTACTTTTATTAAATCAGAGTTTTGAAATAAACTATCATATTTTGGCCGCGCAAAAATTAATTTAATCTTTCGGAGAGTTTTCAATTTGATTTGTTCAAAGTTAACCAATCTACGGTACACGATCCAGGAATGTTGTCTAGTGACACCTTGTGAACATAGTGATGTTGCTTCTCTAGCCGTTGCTAAGCGACCATAATCGACAGATTCGATTATCTTGAGCGTTTTGTGCGATTCGGCCAGGCTCTGTGAAATTCGCTTTTTTATTGTGCTATCAAGTTGCGTATTATTACCCTTGTTGTAAGTCATCTACAGGTGGGTGATTATGTTTTGCTATTGTATTGTCATGTTAAGATCTACTGCAATATATGCCTGTATGCCCACTTGTCCTATATCGGTATAACATTACCGGTACCGGTACTGCTGTAATGCATTACAGCATTAAGCTGTCATTAATTGACAATCCCTTCTTCTAAAATAAATAGCTTTAATGTTTTATAGGAAAGAAGCACAACTCTAAACAGATAACCATGAGTCAGCGTCAAGTTTTACAAGGTAAGATTAACACTTCTTACTAGTTATTTTTGTTGTCTGCTTTTATGGCTCAAATCTCATCATATTCGTAGATTTTGTAAATTGATATTTTTTGGGGAAAAATCAATTTTTATTTACTTTCCACAGTTTTTGAGCAATATCAAAAAGCTCGTACTCAATTTGTTCAAACAATTGGAGAACTATCAACAAGACCACAAAATATTGAAACCCTACAGAATGCAGGTAGTTATTTTCATCTTTGCATTAGTAGCATCGTTTATGTAAACTAGAGATTGCCATACATAATCATAAATAATGGTTCTTGTTACTTCTATTTTTGGATTCCTCACTATCGTAGGGTGGTAACTGCTGATTGCCAATTACGACTTTCTCCACCACAGTTCATGCGTCTGGTTGACTATTCCCATACTGGACATAGAGTGGTAATCGGATGAGAGATTGTGGTTGTGGTTTGCCGTCTTTTCAGCTTTCCCCTAAATCGGGACAAATATGAAAAATGTAATCAGAATTTATAAAACTGGAACTATCTTGTTCTTCTTTGACCTTATCATAAAAATGATTTTAAGAAATTATTTCAATGACATGTTCATCATAATTAATCCAGAACCTCATCTTTAATAATTTTTAAAATATTTTAGGTGTAATGTCACTACTCAGACCACTGCTACTTGATGTTGTACCAACTGTTCAACAAACTGCAGCTTTGGCTCTCGGTCGACTTGCAAATTATAATGATGACCTTGCGGAAGCCGTTGTAAAAGGGGATATTCTACCTCAACTTGTGTATTCACTCGCCGAACAAAATGTAAATGTATACTATATTTTATAGATTCAATTTTTGGCTTGATTTTATGGGGTCGGTTCATTATTAGCTTTGGACCAAAAAAACCAGAAATCGGGACAATGTGCCTCTCCTGTCAGTTTTCGTGAATTGGTGTTTTCACATTCTGAATCTAAAATACCTCAGATGTGATTTTTATACTTGGCATCGTCATTTGTGTATGAATCAGAAGGAAAAGCAATCACTGATACCGCCATGTGTAGTGAATAATGAAAACATGGTGCTTTGACGTGTTATTGTAAACACAACAAAAAGAGATAGAAGGTGCTTAACTGAGGATAAAAAGAGAGAAATAGAATAACAAATTGATGACAAAACTGAAGAACATGGGAAAGTGACGAAATTTTTTTGCCTCAGCTCCTTGAAGGGGAATATGGAAAAACCCTCATTTCTAGTCCTAAAAATCGGCCTTGGCTTATCTGCCAAGTTAGCTTATCAGCCGAAATCTGCTAGATTCAATATTCGTATGGTGTCTTGATCCATGCAACCCTTTTCTTGTAAGGATAATATATCACTATTAACCATTATATCTACATTAATATAACAGAGGTTCTACAAGAAGGCTGCCGCATTTGTATTACGTGCTGTTGCAAAACATTCACCCCAACTGGCTCAAGCTGTTGTTGATTGTGGTGCATTGGATGCTCTTGTCATTTGTCTTGAAGAATTCGATCCCGGTGTCAAAGAAGCAGCCGCTTGGGCTTTGGGATACATTGCAAGGCATAATTCAGGTATTTTGACTCTCGAATAATATTACATCCCATTTCAAGAATTGGAATGCTTTGTGAGTTTGGCGACACAATAGCTCAGTTAGCATCCATAGAAATACTAGATTATAATCTACTGTTTTTTCTGATTTCATTTTTTTCTCCAAACAGAATTAGCCCAAGCTGTTGTTGATGCTGGTGCTGTCCCATTGCTTGTGCTCTGCATTCAAGAACCAGAATTGTCATTGAAAAGAATTGCTGCATCCGCACTTAGTGATATATGCAAACACAGTCCAGAACTAGCTCAAACTGTAGTTGATGCAGGAGCTATTGCACATCTTGCTCAAATGATCTTGAATTTGGATGCTAAATTGAAAGTAAGATATGCTTTATATTTTTTTTTTTATAAATTCAAGTGAAATTCTAAGTAAGGACTAATTATGTAAAAGTGGGAAATCGCTGGTCGATTATGGCTTTCTCCACCATAAGTTCATGCATCTGAAACGAATAACTTGTTGAATATTCCTATACCCGATATGGTGACTCAATCTGCCATTGTTTGCATTTTGATAAACATTCTCATCTGCATTTTTCTCCTTCAAGATAAATATGAAAATCCTATCATATATTACTGAAATATGGAAAACATAGGTAGGTAGGTGTCCCATGGTACACCTCAAATGATTTTCAGTCAAAATGAAATTCAGTTTAGGTATTGCTATCAATTAGTATTTCAAGATGTTGATGAATTTGGAACATAAAGTATAAGCTAGAGTGTTGTATAAGGTATAGTCTTCTTGCTTCCATTTTAAAATTTTAATTCACATTGATCCAAATTTTTTCAGAGACAAATCTTCTCAGCATTGAGTCAAATTGCAAAACATTCAGTGGATTTGGCAGAAATGGTTGTAGAAGCTGAAATCTTTCCTGCAGTTCTAACCTGTCTACGTGACTCTGATGAATATGTGAGAAAAAATGTGGCAACTCTGATCCGAGAAATTTCAAAGCATACTCCAGAGGTAATGACCACTGCTGCTGTTTGTACTTTAATTTTTTATTATTTTAAATTGTATTTACGCAAATGTGTCAAATGTACCAAAATTAGTAGCCTCTTACATATCGCTAAATATTGATGGTTGCTGATGTCTGGAATGAAAAGCATGTAAAAAAAATTAATTTTAGTTAGAGCATTGTTTTGAGTTGTGAGCACATACATATTTCAAGAATTAACATTGGAATATAGAATAGGTTCAACAGTTTAGGAAGGTCTAATGAAGTGCTTTACCGCTTTTATCGCCCCTTATAAACTTGTTTATTTTTTTTTAGTTGGCACAACTCATTGTGAATGCTGGTGGTGTGGCAGCCATTGTTGATTATGTTGGAGAATCAAAAGGTAATGTCTGTCTGCCTGGTATCATGACTCTTGGATATATTGGTGCTCATTCCGAAAATCTTGCTATGGCAGTTATAGTATCAAAGGTAAATAAAGTCAATGCTGAAATACAAAGATCATGTATAAAAATTTGATTACTTTGGAACTTGAAAAACATTACTCAGCTTATTATGATTCAAAGCATAGCGATGTAGCATATTCAGTGTTTTTTAAAATGAATAGATTTTGCCTGATACAAAATATCGATTCAATTGGATATATTTGCAGGGCGTAAACCAACTTGCTATCTCTCTAATGGAAGAGCAAGAAGATCACATCAAAGCTGCAGCAGCATGGGCACTTGGACAAATTGGACGTCATACACCTGAACATGCCAAAGCTATTGCTGTGGCAAATGTTTTACCAGGCTTGCTTCAACTTTTCCTGGCAGCAAATAGCTCTGAAGACTTGCAAATAAAGGTACGGAATGCTACCATTCAAATTTGATTTCAAAGTTTGGTTTTTCTTTTTTCAACTTTTTTATTTTTATTTTAGGCAAAGAAAGCATTGAAGAACATCCTGCAAAAATGTGTCCATCTTCCAGCACTTGAACCTCTGTTACATGATGCTCCACCAAATATTCTCAAACATGTTGTTGGTCAATATAGCAAGGTAATTTAAATTGTTGCTGTAATTGAGAGAGAGAAAGAGTTTGTAATGCTGTCAAACATGATATATATATATTAACAGAATCAAAAGTTTTCGTTTCGACCATTTCTCTGATTATCAGGGTCAATAACCCTCAAAACAAATAAATTGAAATGGCTCAGCGGTGTAGCCCATCGTGCTAAGCGTTAAGAATACGCTCGCCAACACACCTATGATTACCTTGCGTGGGTTCGTAGGTTTGAATCCCATGCGGGGATAATTATGTGCGAGAGGATTGCTGGACTCCTCGCCTCTGTAGAGTTCACGTAACCACTGGTTGGTTACGCCTTCCTCCACCATCAAATCCATACTTCCGAAAACAAATACCTGGCTAACTAATCCCATACCCAACATGAACTGGTAACCGGACGAGAGACCGTGGTTCGTCATATGATTAAGCCATCCCCATGGATAAATATGTAAGTCCCATCCTATCCTAAATAGGTTAAAATTGTATTTTTGAACTCTCAGTACCTAAAAACCTATGTACAAAAACATAATCTGATTTGGTGCATTTTATCCATTTGGTAATTAGCACTTTAAAATATTTTCATCTGGATTTCAGGTACTTCCACATGACAACAAAGCTCGACGAATTTTCGTTACCAGCGGCGGATTGAAGAAAGTCCAAGAGATCAAGGCAGAACCAGGCTCCGTACTTAGCGAGTACATCAACACAATAAACAACTGCTTCCCTGAAGAGATTGTCCGCTATTACAGTCCAGGATACTCGGAAGCTCTTTTGGAGAGAGTAGAGAAATACGCGCCTACTGCTTAGTTTTAGATTTTTTATTTATCAATTTTATATACTATTTGCTTGTTTTCAGGAACAAGTAATGGCAAATTGTGTGTTTTCCAAGTATTTCCAATGATAAATCAACCATTTATGCATGATTTATCATTGAATAGTCCTTTGAAAACTTCACTTTATTTTTCATCTTGTATTTCCGCTTGTACAGCTCATTTCCAATATTAAATTTCATACAACATGTAGACTGTATCAATATACAGCCGAGTATTGATAACTCCGCTGCGATGTATATTTTTTTATGGTAATCCGTAATTTAGGAACACAACTAGCAAGGATTCTACCAAGAAGTTTTTCTACTGTGAAATGAATAAATACACGTCTATTTTACTCATTGTTCAATTTTTGACGAAGTTGTCTTTTGCAGGATATTACAGCTTAATCGTATGGCTTACCACAGCCTCTCGTCCGGTTATCAATCCATGTCCAGTACCGGTATGGAATTAGTTCGTGAGTAGTTTGCTTCAAATGCACGGATTTCGTAATAGAGGGAGCCATAATATTAGCGACTCCCTAAACCAGGGGTCCGCAACTACTTTACAGCGCGAACCAAGCATGTATTGGTTTTTTAATGAATTTTGGATTCTACGCTGTAAGATTCACGTGAAACCAATCTTTATACATTATTCGCTGTTATTCCACTTATATGTATGGTTGGAGTGATGTATTTCTATCCGATGACGGTGAGAGGATGAGTCTTTTGTCGGGCGTTGATCCAACTGCTATAAGTGCTCCGTACGGAGCCTTGGGGCTCCGCGAGCTGTTCGTTCACTTAAAAAACTGACTTGGTTAATTTTGTTTCTGTGAAGAAGCATTAACGTCACTAATAAAATTTGACGAAGGTGGTGTCGAAATGTGGTAGTGATTCAAATATACCATCATCTATAACTAAGGGCGCAGCAGCCATGGTTAAATGAATTTAAACGTATTTTTGAGTTGCTCTTTTAGCCAATGTTCCCTCTAATTTTTTGTAGTATGTGTGCGCAGAAATTTTGGTGTGTGCGCACTTTTTTAAAAATGACTACTATTTGTGCACAAACCAATGAAGAAATTTTGGCGTTCTAACCGGGTAATAAATGGGCCAACAACAAACTTTCTCAACCTGCCAACCGAGAACATTGTTACATTACATCGACATAGGTCTGTGCGCAGTAAATCTATGCGTGTGCGCAGCCTCTGAAAGCTGTGTGCGCGCGCACACCTTAGAGGGAACACTGCTTTCAGCACTTAGGATTATCGCAATGTTTCGATGTTAAGGGAGAGTTTGCAGTTATGAAGCCAATTATATTTGATACCTTCATATCGAATTCGGTCTATGCATAAATGTATCAGTGATTTCTAGATGCAGTGATGGGACAAATATCGGCCGACACAGTAAAATGATCAAACTTTCATTGAAGGGTTTAGATCAGGAGTCGGAAAACTACGGCCCGCGACGCTTCACTGAATTATATTAACAAAACAGCTTTATTGACGAATATATTCTTTACGTGACAAAATTTGTTTTGAGAAACTAAATTATATATATTATAACCTAACAAGTATATAATTCACAATCACTCGTTTAATAATAAGCCTATAATTGATTATAATTAGAGAAATGGCAACAGAACGTAAAAAAGTTGATGCTGAGCGCAAATGGTTTAACGACGCTGAAACTATTCAAATGATCAGTATTTGCGCACTGCTTGAAATTTGAAAAAATGTGATTCATTGGCCATTCCTTTGGTTTTTAACTTTCTAAAATACGTGCGGCACGCCGATGACTTGCAACTTTTAATTTTGGCCCACGAACAACAAAAGTTTGCTGACCTCTGGTTTAGACTTTAGAGCCAGTGAAGTTATACAGTCATCCCAACTCAAATCCTCGACCCACTACCCTATCTCCCTCCACTTCCCTATTCTCGATCCGCTGCCCTGTCTCCCTCGCTTCAGCCAACTGCTTCACCTCCCTATCCTCGACCCACCGCCCTATCTCTCTCAACCTTTATATCCTCGACCCACTGTCCTATTTCCCCCAACCTTCCTACCCCCTTCAACCTTTTTATCCTTGACTCACTGCCCCATCCCCCTCAACTTTTCTATCCTCGATCCACTGCACTATCTGCCTCAAACTTCCCACCCTCGACCCACTGTCCGACCTCCCTCAACTTACTTATCTCCAGCCCACGACGCTATAACACTCAGTACCTAACCTAACGGCGCTACAATCACGACTCAATCGTCAAAATGAACTCTACCATCTCGCGACCAACTTCCATGTATTATACTGGTCGAGTATGCCAATGAGATGATTCAATCGTACGTCGACAAAACATGATTGACGGCATTCGTAAATGTAGACTGGAATCTCAATTGGTAATCAATAACCATAATTAGTGGCTTAAAAATGTGCTACTAATTAGGCTACTGTTGGCATCGGGTTTGAGGTGACTGTTTTTAAAATTTCAACAGGCCATTCGATATCGACTTATCTGAGTTCCTTTTCAGAAACTCATTCAATGTCCCCTGTATTTCTGTGCAAGGCAAAACGGTGAGGAAATGATAAAATATTTGCACGCTTGGTCTTTTTCAACGAATATTCTGTTCTATATACAAATTTCTTTTACGTGACTGAGAAGGCTGAAAAGTCAAAAACAGTCAAAAATATAAGTCGCTCAGTGAGTGTAATCCCTTCCAAACTATTTTTAAGCCATGAAATGTTTTGTCGTAGCTAGCGTTGCCAACATAGTCCCAAAATTGAGCTTATCTTATCTGCAACTTAATGAACTATAAAACGTGGAAGAAAAATACTTTATACGGACCAGAGCACTATTGCTTATTTCGGATCAGCAATTTTGGGAAAAATTAACTTTTGTTTTGATGATTTCAACGTGAAATGGGGTACATTTGGGGGTTAGTTGCTATAAGATCAGGCACCGAATAGTATGGCACCGTAGTTCAAAGGTAGGTAAGTTGTGGCAGATAGGGCAGTGGGTCGAGAAGAAAAAGGTTGAGGGAGATAGAGCGGTGGTTCGATGATGCGAAAGTTGGGGAGATAGGGCAGTGGATCGAGGATAGGGAGATAGCGTAGTGGGTCGAGGATGGGAAGGCTGAGGGAGATAAGGCAGTGGGTCGAGGATAGGAAAGTTGAGGGAGGTCGGGCAGTGTGTCGAGGATAGGTAAGTAGATGGAGATAGGGCAGTGGGTCGAGAACAGTTTTCAAGTAAACGAATAGCTCGCGGAGACCCTAAGTGTCTTTAACAGAGTCTTGAGGCTCCGTACGGAGCACTTTGAGAACATAAGTCTACGTAGTAGGATATAACAATGCGAACAACTAAGTAACGAATGTTTCCCCGACTTTTGATCTCTTGAATTTTCCCTCATTACACTCTACCATTGCAAAAATTCTGGTACTTATTTTAAGAATGGTTTTGCGAGTTTAGGACTCATATTTACCAAAACACCTAAAATCTAAAAACTAAAATCTAACAAATAACACGCGAAAACGGACAAAACGAGATAATATTCACAACCATGAAAATCTGTCTGAATGACTAAATCAGTGGTCGGCAACCACCAGCCGCGGCCCATCACCGGTCCGCAGAAACGTGACGCAAAAGAAGGACAATGTCCTAATAACATCTTTAGTTGATTGAAATTTCAAACAATAATGAGTTGAAAAGAGTCTTTGCGATTTATAGGGTAGCTACTTTGGCAATCTTTTGGGCAATACTGCTATCTGAATACCCCGACATTGCAAAAAAAAGCTTTTACAGGCATCTTTACAGTTATGTGAGATCGGGTTTTCAAAATTGACAACTACAAAATCGCAGTAGGCTAAAAGTAAGAAATACGTTACTTGAATAACATAACTTTTATTTTTAAATTTAATATTAACTTATTGTTACCTCAAATTTTGCACTTATGCTGATTGGCCAAAGTTACGGCAGTAAATAAGGAAGTTTATACTTGGGGAAACATTCATAATCATGATCAGAGATTTATAAAGTTGTTATAGCTAAATTCGGTACACAGACGCCATGCTTATATATTTATGGTAAATTTAAATTGTTTTGCGACCCAGCGTGGAGAGCTCCGCGACCCAAACCTAGGTCGCGACCCCGTATTTGCGGACCCCTGGTGTGTCCAATGTTTTGCTAGCCAGATTTTCCCTATAAAGAATGCAATGCGTAAAATTGATATGAGGTGCAATTTGTAATACTCTTGCTAAAAACCTTTGTTTTCCCGCCATGGCCCCAGCCCTATCAGTACAAATGCTAATACACCGCTCCCATGATAATCCATCATTCTGTAGTCTCGTCGCCACTGCTGAGAATGTGGTTGACCAGTGCATGTTTCAGAAAGCGCCAAGCACATGTGTAACTTATATACCTAACGAACACAATCAACTGCGCTAAACCAGACGTATCCGTGGATTCATCCAATTGCAAAGCGTATTTTCCTCCTTTGACTCTATCAATCAGTTGGCACCTAATATCTTGACCCATTTCGCTGACACGTCGGCAAATGGTATCTGCAGACATTGGTATTTCTTTCAGTTCCTTAGTTACCTTGTCTCCATTCATAATTTGACTAATCGCAATAGTTTCGATTAGTGTTTCTCCAATGAGGTGTGTTTTTTTTTTATCTTTTGCGATTAAATATGCCACTTCATACAATGCCTTTTGTTGAGAAACGGAACAAACAACACATTGACGACGTGACTCATCATTTAGAAAAATACACGTGAAACCAAGCTTTATATATTCTTCGCTGTACTTCCGCTTATAAGGATGGTTTGAGTGATGTATTACTATCCGATGATGGTGAGGAGATGAGTCTTTTGTCGGGCGTTGATCCCCACTGCTTGAAGACCATGCACCATGAAGGTGCATGCGGTGTTCTGTTCTCGCTCAATTTCTCCGTTGTATCTTCCGCTCGCGACTTTTCTGGAGTATTCTTCAGTAACCAGTTTGTCAACATTATTTGTGACTAAAATTACCTTTAAAATTCTTAACCCCGCTAAATTTTGAATTTACCCAAGAATATCTTACAATAACAAATGTAACAGCACTCTAACTATTTAATTTAGAATGGACAAATCTCATCATATGTCTTTATCAAACAATTCCACACGACTACTGCTAACCTCGCATTGCTACGAAACAATACAATTGTCTACCTACGTCAGGGGTCGGCAACCTTTTTGTCGCTCGCGGGCCAAAAGTAAAGGTTGCAAGTCATTGGCGTGCCGCACATATTTTTAGAGAGTTAAAAACCGAACGAATGACCGATGAATCACATTTTTTTACACAGATCAGAAGGTAAATTTTACGCAGCGCGTGAAGAGTGACCATTTGAATATTTTTTCGCCATTAAACCATTTGTACTCAGCATCAACTTTTCTGCGTTTTGTTGCCATTTGTCTAATTATAATTAAATTATAGGCTCATTAAACGAGTACTTGTGAATTATATACTTGTTACGTTATAATATAATTTAGTCTACTCGTAAATTCTTTTTTGTAAAGAATATAATAAAACAACTGTTTTGTTACTATAATTCAGTGAAGCGTCGCGGGCCGGATTATATTGCTCCGCGGGCCGGACCCGGCTTGCGGGCCGTAGGTTGCCGACCCCTGACTTACGTAGTAGGATAATACCAAATAACAATGCAAACATCTACGGAATGAATGGTCCCCGATTTTCGATCCTGGCAAAATTCTTCCGCTTTATACTCTACCCTTGCAAAATTATTGGTTCTTATTTCGATAATGGTTTTGCGAGTTCACGCCTATAAACCGATTTGTTTATATGTTTCAAACTATCATTTTAATTCAATACATTCAACAACCTTTCATTCACATTTGCCTATAGAAAAGTTTGGCCTAGTCTATCACAGCTATTTCTAGATTAATTTTTGATTACTGCATTTAAAACTCCGACAGAGCAAAATGATTATTGAGTTATTTGATTAGGACTTATATTTACCAAAACACAACTGAAAACTAACAAACAACACGCGAAAACCGCCAAAACGAGATAATATTCACAACCACGAAAGACTGTCTGAATGGCAAAAGTAACTGAGCGCTGCTGAAACGTTTATTGTTACTTCAATTTTGCACTTATGCTGATTGGCTAATGTTGCGGCAGTAAATAAGGAAGTTTATACTCGGGGAAACATTCATAATTATAATCAGAGATTTTATAAGTTGTTATACATATATACGCTACACAGAGGCGATGCTCCTATTTATGGAAAATTAAAATTGTTTCGCGACCCAGAGCGGAGGGCTTCGCGAACAAATTTGGGTCGCGAACCCGTAGTTGCGGACCCCTGAGCTAAACCACCATCATCTCGAATATAATTATCACCCAGGGGATGCGAAGCCGCGCAATGTAATACTAACCGTCGAGCTTAACGGGAAGAGATAAACCATGGCAAGCTTTTCAAGGAGATCAGTTATCTATGCATTTGCTGCTATCTTGCCTTTGGAATAAGGTACCTACAATGCGGATACCGTGCATTATAATTGAGGAGGTAGTCGAGCTTAACGAGGTAATCGTAATGGACCTTTCCCCGAGAATCGACTTTCTTGTTTACATCGTGACATTAGCCAATCAGCAGGAGGCAAAAGTGACGTAACAATACCCCATTTTCGCTTCCACTCAGACACTTTTCTCACTCAGACAGTTTTTCATGCGTGGTCGTGAACATTACCTCGTTTTCGCGTTTTTGAACTCTATTCGTTAGTTTTCAGTTGTGTTTCGGAAATTTAAATATAAATCTGATAATTCAATGATCACTCTGTCTTCCTAGGAGTTTTAAAAATTAGTGTAGAAATAGCTGTGATAGACTAGGCTAAAATTCTTTACCGGTAGTAAACACAGATTGTTGTTTACACATACCCCATTTTACAGGCGCCAACTCGCAAAAGCACTTTGAAAACAGCCCTGAAAATTTTGCAATGGTAAAGTATAGGAAGAATTTTTTGGGGGTCAAAGGTCGGGGAAAGATCCATAGGGCTCGATATTCCACACTAAAAGTAATATTGCATCATCGCGTCAGGCTTGTCCGCTATTTTCCGACAAACCCGGTACTAATATAAGGCCTACTAGTAATAAATTGCTTCATTTTCGAACGATTTGTGAACTATCATTAAATGTAACTGTTCGTTTGTATGATGCAAATGTAGTTCCAGCATAGGAACTTTTGAATAGTCGTTTTCTCTATTACCTCTCCTAGTTCAAGGACTTCAATGCAAGCATGCATATAATTTCAGGGGAGGCCTTATGCCACAAACACCTGTGCTATGCGGCTGCAATAAACTCGCACATCCAAATCTCCAGTAGTTCTAGGTGTAATATATAAATTATTTTAATGATTTTCATTTTCCGCAACTGGCTGCCCAAGATAATCGCATGCGATTCCTGCCTGGAATCTAATTCAATGAGAAAACACCCGTGAATGCCAAAACGTGCTTATAATGCCTCATTTCCAAGTCATTACATTGGAAACTTTATGCCTCCAGGTGATCAATGTATAATGAATGAATGTTCACATCAACTGAATATGAAAGAATATTACTCAAATCGACCACTTTGTTAGGCTAGATATTCATGTCAAACAATAATAAGTATTTTATATTTTATTCCTCATTGCTTAAAATTTGTAATACATGTAATTTTGGGACACTTGTAATTTCCGTACCAAATTTATTCACTGAGAAAGTATGGTATTACTTCTTATTCAAAACAAAGGAAAGTACGAAACTAAACGGCGTGGATTTTTTGTCCCTTTTGTGGAATATCCATTCTGGTTGTATTACTCCGCTTTTGCTGTTTGTCGAATGCTCATATAACTTGTACAGCAATATTTTTTAATTTACGGCATTCGATGTAGAAAGGGCTCTTCGTACTTCTGTAGAATCTCTCCCAGAGAAAAGCCGCCTAAAAGCTCTATTAAAATCCTTATTTGCACGAGCATAAATTATTGGATTCAGTACTGAATTAAAATATCCAAGCCAGTTAATAAAAATTTCAGCTGCAGGTGGAAGGTAGCATATTGAACAAAAAGGAAGAATAATTTCTTTGGCAAAAAACGGAAGCCAACAGACGACGAAAGCTCCGATTACAATCCCGAGGGTCCGGATAATCTGTGGAAGAAAATCGAAATGAATTGAATAATAACAATTATGCCTATAGAGTCGAATATGTTGGTGAACCCGAATAACACATTTTCCCCAGGGTAATCATTAAATCCAGATATAATTGAATATATCTCAATATACCTAACGAAGCTTGTTCTATTTTAATTAGTAATATTCAAGTTTTTTCTTCATTTAATACATCGATATCGGCCAGAAAGATATATAGGTGGGAAAACAAACGGTTCATTCAAAATTTTATGACTTTATACACACCCTACATAACAAAAATGCACAGTCAGTGCTTAGAATCGAGTGACTGACCATTTCTGTTGAGAAATACAGATGATTTCTGTTAGGATAGCACGCGTTGTGCGTAAAGTAAGATAATGATTGGAATTACGGATGGTCTCTATATTAATGGTTAAACGATGCCTGAGATTTAGCCTTTAAAATTAAACTTTTACCTTTCTTTCTCTTTTCATATTTACTTTTGATGATATCCGCTGCGAAAAAGCCATCAAACGTGGTTTACAACCAGCTTGCTGATCGATCGAAGCTGATTTGTGAATTCGAGTCTCACCATCTTGAACCAGTGTTTGAGACAACATTGGAGTTATAATCTGACTACGACGATATACAACCACTTCACTATTTGACAATGTATTGCTGCAGCTTATATCCGATAACACAATGTTATCAATAGGGACAGTAAGGGAATTCCCGTCATTAGGTGTATGGTTATTGTCATGAATGGGTTTTGAAGAACTTTGGAATGACATTCTGATTCTATTGGGTTTGGCGACCCGCGACGAACTTGAATCGATATATCCACTTGCTTCTGCGTCTTCATGCGAGTTATTATCTTTACAGCTATTAATGGGTTTTTCGGTTTGTGAACGGTGGGGTTTGATTTCATTCGTAGTTGTGAAAGCTTTTTGGATATTCATATCTTGTTCGTTGTTTTTTCCTGGTGTAACTCCCGCGTAAATTTTGGCTGTCAATGACGCACCATTTTTCGAATTTATCTCAGTTGTCCAATAATTATTTACGCATTGACCTATTCCCAGGCTCGCAGAATTCATAACGTTATTGTTGAACTTGAAACTGTTTTGATTATTGTTTAACTGGTCAGGAGAACTGCAGTTACAATTACTGTCTTCAGGAGGTGAGTTGTGCTGATGTTTGGGCTTCATTAAATGTCTAAATTTTGATGTAAAGTAATGTTTTGATAGCGCTGGACATCCCACGAAACACGTACTTCTATGCTCGCTCCTGTCCAAGACGTTGGATATTTCGGCGGAAGACAAACTGTTACGCCCTGCTACTGCCTTGTATCCTTGGAAGCGTTTTCCTCGCAAAGTTGACCACGCAATACTTGCCATCTTTATGTAAATCAATATTATGACCGTCAAAGGGGCGTAGAATGCAACTGTCGTTGCAACAACTCTGTAAATCTAGAATAAAAAGAGAATTATTCTTAGGATATTTGTATGGTGTCGTTGTATTGGTCTGAATAGGGCAAAATAACTTCAAAATAACACACCTTGTTGTCATTTACGATACATCTTTCATCAGCATCATTTTCTTCTTCAATTTTAGGACTGAAGTTGGATTCCAACTGCACAGTTAAAAAACATAATTATTTTACGCATGACGTTATGTTTTGTTATTCTGTTATACCAAAAAAGCAAACCCGTATCGCTGTTTCAACCACTACTAAACGTGAAATAAATCAAACAAAACAATTTTTGAAGCATCAATTCAATAGCCGTGTCGTATACCTTAGTTGTTTATCATGGTAGCTTTGGATAATATAATTTAATAGTATATATATATATATATTGCATATTGCAAAATTCGGACGTGCTGGAAGACAACAGTGTTCTGAAATGTGAATATAATTGTTTACTTCAGTCAAAGAAAACAACGCACTAGACATTCTGCGTTTTGGGTTAAAAATATAGAATTCACAGAGACTGCTGTTATTACTCTATCTTACCTTGTGGTACGAAATATTCACATGTTGATTGCTTTGTTTTTTCGATGGAAACATAAAAAATGGCGTAACGGACAAAAGTATGGCAGCGAACCATATGCATAGTATTGTCGGAATAACAGAAACGAAGTTACGTGGATACAAACGTAATCGAACCGTGGATACTTTTTTGTATCTGGAATGAAGGAGTATTCATAAAAGATTTTTAGCGTTTACAAGGATATGCTTGAAAGTTTTCTGGTGATCGAATCTTAAAAAAACACCTAATTTTGAACAACAAGTTTGTGTTTTCGTCTATGAATTGCAAATGAGTTTGAAAGAATTTCTTAGTCATATTACTTTGTGCGTTCGAAAAATATTGATAATAAAATGACTTCCGGAATTTGTAGATTCGTGAGTTGACTAGGAAATGTTTTTGTTTTTAAATTATGATGAACTGCACAAACACTATAGTCTTCAAATGAGAAAAAAAAACATTGAAAAGGGCTATAATCGATATGCATTCGTTTAATGAAGTATATTTTTTATATTGCCACAATTATAGGTATATTATTAAAAGCGAAGCCATGGGCGGAATTTCGATTAATCGATTGCGGCGATGTAAATTATTTAAAATCAATTTAGTGGTTTTCAGTGAGTGCGATTGTGTCCGTAAAACGACATGGCGTTATCTCATTTGCATCAATTGTCGTCTTGACGAGTCGATGGATGCGTTTTAAGTAGCCTTTATCAGTTTATCTGAAATTTCATGCCTATTGGGGTGGGTTGGCCAATTGTATGATCTAAATAAAAGCATTGTAATTTTTCAAAACCATACGCAAAAAGGTTCAGTACGCAATCTTTTTGAGTTCGAACTTTTATGTCATACATTAGTATTACACATTTGGCGATGTACTAACTTGTTCCAGTTCAATTATGAGTTTGGAAAAGTACTCACAAGTTACTATGAGCCTGTCGTTATGATAAAAATGACCTATTCATTTCTTGCTTACCTAACCCAAGCTATGACGCATAAATGAAGAATTGAGGCAGTGCAACAAGTCACGTCAAGAAATATAAATAGACGACACGCCACTTGGTGTGACACCCACCAAACATCATTACTTCCCCCAAAAAAAGTAATTGCGGCAGCATAAGGTAGAACCATCAGCGAGACAAGTAGATCAGTGACCGCAAGGGATCTAAAATAATAAAATGTTATTGCATAAAATACCACCAAGTTGACTTTAAAATGTTATCCTGAAGTAACATAGTACTTTTGTTGGAGATAATCAATTTAAGAAACACGTAAATGTTGAATGTCAAGAGTATGGAATGGACGAAAGTCATCAAAACAGAAGATAAGATCAGGAAATTATCATTTATATCATTGAATTTTTTTTATTCAATTCTCTTGAAAGATTCTTTCTAGTTATAAAACTCTTTTTTCAAGCACGTAAACCATATCGATTCGGCAGTTATACTGGGAAGTTATGATCGACTTTTATTAACAATATTCCGTCGTTTTTGAACGAGTGTTCCAAGTCAACGGCTTAGAGATAAGAGGCGAAATCCTATTTTTATACAATTATTGTTTCATCTTCATATGTATAAAAAACAACTGAACTATTTTCATAAAAAAATAGTTTACTACCTAACATATTTATCAATTATGCAAGAAAATCTTATCTAAGTCTCTAGGGAACGAGAAGGTTCAGCTTTCCAAGAATGGATTCCGAAAAACATATTTTTGGCAATTTCGCCGCGTTGCGCGTTAGATCGTCATTTTGCCAAAACGAAAGATGATGATGAATGATGAAATTTGGATTTTTGATTCTAGGGGAAGGTACTCATATATGTCTCGGGAAATGATTTATTTCTTTGCTTGGGGGATGGGGGGGTGGTTATGACTATACATATACTGGTATAATCATTTCCCCTGCGACATTATACCCACATTTGTTTTGTTTTGAACGTAGTTGCTTCGTCTCACGTGGAGCAGCAACTTTTTTTTAAAGATTTGAAAAGATAAGATCGACGACAAAAGAAAATTGATGACATAGGAAATTCTGCACTAGAATGCAAATGTATGTCATACCACGGCATGAGAATCTAATTTACATACTGCTCAATTTTCTGTTTATATATAATTACATTAAGTCAATACAAATTGATGAATAAATTTGACCTCTCAAACATGTTATTTAAATATTGCCTCGTTGTTTGACGCGCTTGTCATCTGGAATTGAAAAATATATGTTTTGGAATGTACGAGGCTTAACGATCCAGAATCGTCTGATACGTAATAGTATCACACAACCGCTTTTTCCGGTCATTCACCAATCGCCAAAATTTGCGGTTAATTTATATTATGCATGCATATGCGTGAATTCAACTTACGCGATGAGGTAATTCGCCCTTGAATGCAGTTTATTTTCTTTCGTTACCGCTGCCAAAACCATTAAATTTCCTGCGACACCAACAACGATATTAACTCCGAGAAAAATTCCAATTACGAGCTGCACAACAATGCTTCCTTTTTCGGTGGAACTTGAATTAAGTGTCGATCCTGCAGAATCGTTCAACTGAAGAGTGAAGTTATCGTTCATGATGATTATATATGGTTGAATTATATAATTCCTGCAAAACGATTCGTTGTATAAAGGTTCTTTGTATTGTATATCCCATACACAGGAATGTTCATAAATGCGTAATATTTACATAGGGAAGTCAGCTATTCAACTTACAGAGTACCGGTACGATACAGGTAGAGATTGACAGTCCGACGACAGAATTGCGCATGTAGAACAAACTAAAACTTCCATGAGACTTCTAGATATACATTCTTATTTGGCATATTTATACATTCTTATAATTCCCAAACCCCATACCAAAGTTGTAATTCCATTATGCATGTAAAAATTCTAAACAATTGTAGACTGACCGAGAAGTCCCGAGCTTCCAGCACGCGAAAATCTTGTATTGCAATGTTTCATATGGATTGTCGCCTATCGTGCATTGCCGTCAAGTCAATTCGAATTTTCAGACAAAATGGATCTCTTACTAACATCCAGCCACATAATCGAGTCTGTGTGAGAGTAGACGACGTTACTGAGTTATCAAATACAGAATTATTGATATTTGAAACTATTAGATATTTTTAGACATGAAATCTACCGTTTGAAGAATCTATACAACAAATGGTGATAGAGAACCTAATATTTGAGTATCTCATATCCGAGAAGAAATTCAGTATTTCAATGACACTACGTGAAAACAAAATTTACTAATTTAGATGAAACATATTATGTGGGAAACAAATTAGATAAATGTAAATATGTGATCAATTTCAAACAAATACGAATCACTTGAGCAGCATAATCCATTTTATTAATCACAACATTGCGTGAGAAACTATTTTTTTTTCGGCGCTTGGGTAAAATCGAATTCACATATTGTTTAATCCAGCACAATAGATAAAGTATTCAGATAATGTCTTGAAAATTTAAAAATAAAAGAGCATATGTAATTTACTATATGGAGAAGTATAAAACCCTGGCGCTGTTTAAGCTATACGCGATTTCAATGTGGAAATATTGATTGGTCATGGAAATGAATATTTCAAGTGATCTCAGTCAGGTGTTCTACCAAATTGTCGTGTTTATTAGATTACAACAACAGTAAGGCTAGTTATACAGCAGCTGTCTACCTGTGCATTAGAAAAACATTCGTTATAATTTCTTTACATATATACTGATTAATTAGCATTCTAAACTGGCATACTATATCCTTCGTCTATTGATATCTCGGTCGCAAGCACGAACCTACTTATATAGAAAATATCGCGTAAGTCGCTTGTAACCTTTTTCAGCACTCTCTTTTTCAGTTTTAATTGAAAGTTGGAGATTTTGCTTGTGCGTTTTTACTTACTAAATAAAAATTGCGGCTAATATATATCTAAAATCTCTAAATATACTAAAGCTGCATGAACTTCAATAACGCTCTGTAACGGTTTAGTTAATAATATATTTTGAGTATTTGTCTCTGCAATTGCAAGAAATTCCAAGCTAACAACATTAAAATCCAAAAAAAATCTTTGCGCACAAACTCTTTGCTCATTTTTATTTTTTCGAGTAGCATATTTATTGTCTGACGTAAATCGGTGACATTGTTTCATTTTATAGATTCTTGTTTCCACCTTTGGCATCATTAAATCGTATATCGCTGAACCTCTTAGAAAAGATCGTTTCTCGTTGCTATACCACCTTAGTTAAGTACCCATAAATTATAACTGTAACTTGGTTTTGTCATAAATAAATACACATATGCCAGTCCGACTCAGATAAGATGTAAAATATACATAGTGTTACCACGTAATTACGTTAGCACGTTGATCTGTTAAACTCTTATAGTCAAACAAAATTGTAAAAAAGGTTTCATACTCTCCGGCATAAATATATAACTTCAGGCAAAGACTTCGATAATTAATGGTTTTGTCCGCTTCCATATTGATACACGCGCCTGTTCGATAGTATAAATGGGTTCATAAATCCAATTATATAAAATAATCATCTTGTGTCCAGCCGGCACAGCGGCATTTAAATCTTTCCAATCAGACGAGAGAAAATACGAAAAATCTGCTTTGGTTGAATTGCCTAACTAACGATGAAATAATCGATGCGATGTGTGAATCTATAATTTATTTTTGACAATAGTAACAACTCGAACAATGCAAAATTATTAGCCGGATATTACAACTGTTCAAAACAGATGTACGCCTATATCGCTGTTTAATTAATATTTACGTTATAGGTGTAAAGGTTATTCTGTATGTACGACGTTAATTTACGAATTACATAAAAATTCATTTGGTGGTGTCACATAGCGAGATACTCACATATCGAAAGCCTAAATTATTAAAATTTAAAAATAATACAAAATCATATATATATTATTTATATACAATACGATTCCTAAAAAATTCAGTGTCAAATTTTTATTGTAAGTCAAGTTAATTACATACTTCACCCGTCCCACGTGCGCTGATCTCTTTTGATTATTGTTTTTTTTACGTTTGCTATATTTCTTGTTGTTTTACTCTCATACTTTCAAAAATTTCAATTTAATTTCTCTGTCAAGTTTCCTTTTTCATCTTTCCAAATGCAATATTTCCAATAAGTCCAGGTGGTCGGGCTTTTTTGTCCCAAATAAATCCTTAAATAAAATACTCACAACAGGGCTACTATTCAAGATATCTGACCCAAAAAAGTCAATTCGAAGCAAATATTACTTTGCTAGAAAACTGATATTGATTTATTGTAAGTTCAATCGTTCTCTTTGTAAACATGGAACATGTAAATAATGCGTTTAGCAATTATAACAATTTAATTATTAATGGCATATGTCGCCACGTAAACATTATTGTATTTTGCGCAATATTTTGATGCCCGTAAAAATGGGGCAAAGTGTTTCTGGCGTTTCTCATCTATGTCAATTTGAACACTTGCCACAACTTGGCAAACTTTCTCAACGTAATGAAACTAATAAATAATACCCTTGACATATTAGGTTATGACGTCATCAGATTAAAATATACATATCACTATACTATAAAATAAGGTAGATTGGAATTGTTACATTAATTGTTTCAATATTAATTTACGTCACCAAACTAAAATGTACACATATCACTATAAAATAATGTTTATTGGAATTGTTACATTAATAGTTTCAATATTAATTGGGTTCAAAAATGCCCCAAATTTCTCAAATTAATCATAGTTATTTACTGGTATTTATATATACCTCGAAAAATCTTCTAGCTATATTGGTATTTAATTATATTACAGGCCCCCTCATTGATTATTACCATTACAAGTTTTTAGAGTCCAAGGAAGATAATAATATATCTTGATGGGCTAATAAATATAGATTCTAAATCCAAGAATTCTTAACATAATGCTGAATATATTACACGTTTTCTTACTGAAATCAGCATCGAGATATTTTCCCGATCGTCGTCTCGCCGTTACGCAGCTTTCTTCAAGAAATCATTTTTTCAACCAGTAGCCTCAGATACAATTTGATCAATTATAATGCAAAGGGCATTTGATGGTATACATGACATTCAAGAATTTCGGATTTATTTTTAAATTTAAATCAATCGATTCTCTTCGGTAAAGATCCAACTATCAGATGAAACATAATTATTTTTGGTAGTGACTTGAACCATGCATGCTTGGTCTTGAATTGTCCGCGATTCCTTTCTTATTTGAATGGCAGACTGCCATGAATAATATATTATGAAAATCTTTACAAATTATCCATTTAAAAGATTAGTTTCCGACGTTTGGTTCAATTCGTGATATTCCTATTTCCTACCAAAATTACAGAACAAGGGCCTGTCTGAAATACTGACTAACGTTGTCTGTAAAGAAATAGCAAACCTAATTTGTTATTGACTTGTACTTTACGATCCATAAATTCCGCAATGCACAAAACACGAATTGTACCAACTCGTATCCTCAATACTCGTAGGAATATTTAGCTCAAAAAATTGATAAAACAATATCCGACAAAAACCGAAATTTTACGAAATGTGCGTGACTCACCTATAATCGTGCTTCCGTGGTAAAAATGTAAAAAAATATCCTCAATTTGAGGCAATTCTATATAATTTTGTGCCTCCGGTCATATCTCAAAAATAGGTTACTTCTTCGCGTGTCGGTGAGGGTAATCTGTTTATAATCCTAGAACAATCACCAACTACATCATCTTGCCACGCAGATTACGATCTGTCCGATGAGATATATTTAGCAACAGTGACTTCCTTATTTAGCTTAGATTGCTCGAGATGGGCTTTCAAAAAACGACATAGCATATTGATAAAATTGGTAAACACAATTTAGGTACCCGATTTTATGGCTATGGATTCACTAATGAACTTTAGCCCAAAACTGCCAAATTGCTATATCGGGTAACTTTTTTGGCATTGGCATCAAAAATAGTAAAATACCTTTATAAATGAATTCGTATCCCGAATCGCGACAATAAATATCTTAAGATACAAAAAAAAGGTTTTTGAAAAACAGTCAAATATCAATGTATGAAAGAGTTTTGTTTAATTTGAATTTAAAATCGCTGTTTCAGATAAAACTTCGTATTATAAACCATGTACTTGTTCCTATTATGTTATCCACGATGTCGAAAAGTTAAGATAAATACTATTAAGCATAATATTATCAATGCCATCTTTCTGTCGCGATATGTTTCGATTTTATAATTCAATTTTGACCAAAGTTAGACAGAATTGATTCTGAGAATGATATTAAACTAGTGGCCCATCAGTTCACCAATAGAGAAAAGGTATTTTCAAAATAAAGCTCTCAGACGTCTATCTCGTTTGCGTGCGTGTGCTATTAAAATGTTGTGTTCCATGTTTACATTTCATAATACCAATTGGTAACTGTCAACAAATTACATCTATTCTGCCCTAAATTTTTGCGCAAACTGGTTATAAATTAGTATCTTTTGAAATGCTATTGAATTAAATCCTCATAGCTATCTGCGTGCGATTCTCACAAAAACCCATCAACTACAAACTATTCCTGTATACAGAAGATAATATTTACCCATCTACGCGTTTTCCAGTCGTTTAAAACATAGCTAATGCCTAGTATGGTCAATTAACCTTACCGTGTATCGGTTCGATCAACAAAATATGATAGTAAGTCGGAGCACATACCCGTCGGATTCTATTTGTATATATGGTCTAAAGATGTCCAGGGCAATCTCTTTCTGTTGACCATTTGGATTTACCTAAATAAATAAACAAACAAGTAAACTTCATGTTAGCTAATACGCCATAATCTGCCCACAATGTTTTTCAAAATTCCGTAACTCGTCAAGCTCACAACGGAAACTGTTGTTTTTAACATCTTAGTCAATTTTCAGCCTATCTTGTACTAAAAAACGAGTAATATAATATGCGTTTTAATTTTCTGGATGACTGATATGAAAAAATTGATGTCATAATAATATCATAATTGAGAATTTGCAGCATATGACGAATTTTCTATGGCCAAAACAGAAAGTTGACACAGTATCTGCCTTATTAATCATGACG